GCATGGGCTTAGTCATCGCCCGTGCGTCCGTGGTGCGCCGTGTGTGCAAGCTACTAGGTGAATCATAACCCCACTTGCACACCCAACCTTTATCCTTGCATTTTTCCTCATGGTAATATTAACGTGATAGTTTGGTCTGATCATGTCACTAAGCATCGCCTAAGTGCGTGCTTAGCGAGTACTTAACGCGCGCGCTAATGCACAATGCGCGGTGTTGCGCGCGGTGCGCTGATGCGGGCGTAGGCGTACGCACGGTATGCGGTACGCGTGCATACTTGGTGCACCTTGTGTGCATTCTTGACTTGACTTAACTTATTGTTTCAAACTTAACTCCGAACATGCTTAATCAATAATTCAATCCCGATTAATAATGTCCGTTTATAAAGTAAATGGTTCGGAAATTAATTATCGAATTTGACTCGGTTAATAATTAACCGGATAAACTTTTTGACTTAGCGTCGAACGTATTTGCTGAAAATGAACGGAAGTAATAGAAGATAATACATCACTTATATTAACAAGAAGTTGGGTTATTACACTACCCACCCCAAGGGATGTTCTAAACAAGAGACCACCCAGGCCGAGGGCCTTAATCATGGTGGGTTTTGGTCTTCACACTTGCCCACCCACGAGGAATGTTCTAAACAGGAGGCCACCCAGCCCGAGGGCGTGAGTAATCGACTAACCTGCCCACCCCAAGGGATGTTCTAAACAAGTGACCACCCAGACCGAGGGCCTTAGTCATGGAGGGTTTTGGTCTTCACACTTGCCCACCCGCGAAAAATGTTCTAAACAGGAGGCCACCCAGCCCGAGGGCGTGAGTAATCGACCAACCTGCCCACCCCAAGGGATGTTCTAAACAAGCGACCACCCAGCCCGAGGGCCTTAATCATGGTGGGTTTTAGTTTTCACACTTGCCCACCCGCGAGGAATGTTCTAAACAGGAGGCCACCCAGCCCGAGGGCGTGAGTAATCGACCAACCTGCCCACCCCAAGGGATGTTCTAAACAAGCGACCACCCAGCCCGAGGGCCTTAGTCATGGTGGGTTTGGGTCTTCACACTTGCCCACCCGCGATGAATGTTCCAAACAGAAGGTCACCCAGCCTGAGGTCATGAGTAATCGACCAACCTGCCCACCCAAAGGGATGTTCCAAACAAGTGACTTCCGGACCAGACCGTATCATACATCATGTCATCCAAATCATACCAATGTTCCGAGCATAAGAAAATGTGCAATAAAGCAAGTAATACCAAAAGATAACTGGATTCTATTAACTTCTGAACAGGGTTTGCGAGCTACATGTTTGTCGGAATTTCCAAAACTTCTTTGAAAAAAGCAAAAAATTTTACACATAGTATTTTTTCAAATTAGCTATGTTCCATGACCTGGCAAGTGATCGTCCTTCTGCGTCCTTTAGAGAGTATGCTCCTCCTGCATGCACTCTCTCGACCAGGTATGGTCCTTCTGTTGGGACCTATGAGGATCTCGATATGCACAAATCACGGATAAACATTCAACATAAACCTATGCGCAGCGGATCTACAGGTTTGATGTAGGAAACTTACGGCTTAAAATTTATGTAGATCTGGCTGGCCCGAACGGATGACCACAAATCAAATTTTCTCGGAATCGAACAAACTTGACCAATCCAGAAAGCTGGCGTCACTGCGAAGTCAAAGGCGTTGACCGATCAAAAATCGGAGGGTCCAAGCGCTCTCACGTGCGCGTGTGAGTCCCAGCAGCAGCGAACCTCCGGTGGCGCGTGCGGGCGCGTGCGGTGTCGGCTGGCGGCGATCTCGACGGCGATCTCTCCGACTCGTCGTCCTGGTCGTCGTGGTATGGTCACTTGTTGGTTTTGGTCTCCGGTTTGGATGGATGATAGATTTGATTGGAATCCCGTATATACCTTAAGATCTTCTACTGTATTCTCAAACAGCTATCTAGATCTTGTATCAGTGGAGCACAAGAATTAGAACAACTCCTTGGAAGAGAGAGAGAGAGAGGGGCGGACGTGTTTTTGGGTTATGGGA